GTGTGTGTGTGTGTGTGTGAGAGCAAGAGCGAGGGAGAAGGAGCGAAAGAGCGAAAGGGACGCGGAACAAAAAAGACCGAGGCGGCGGAGCCACGCACCGGAAGGACCACCATACGCGGCCAGCCGGGCAACCAGCTTCTCCTTGGTTGCACCGCGGATCTGCCGGCGAGTGTTGGGCGAGGTCTCGCTGCTGGCATTCTTGACGTAGACAATGAGGCCGTTCTTCTCGTCCTCGGCGTCCACGCGGGCCTGGTTCTCGTAGGCGGTGTTCAGCATGTTGACGCTGTCCTCGCTGGCGCCGGCGGCGGCCGGGCTGCTGCCGGCCGTCTCGGCCGGGGCGTCGGCATCGCCGGCGCTGGCGTCGTTGGCCTCCGAGCGCTCATGCTCCTGGAGGTGCTCCTCCAGGATGGCCATCTTCCGGCGGATCTCCATCAGCTCCGAAGTCAGGCGATCGTTCTCGTCCTGGAGCAGGGCCAGGTGATCGATGACCGAGGCGGCGCCATTGCTGTCGGTGACACCGGTGGCACGCTCCACCAGGTGCAGCTTGTGCAGGGCAATCTGCTTTTGCTCGATCTGCTCGTGGATGACCTCCTGCGCGCGGAGCTGGAACTCCGACCATTCGATGGTCAGATCGATGATGTACTTCTTCAGGACGTTCGGGTCGGGCGTGAAGTTGTAGATCTGGTCGTGGATGCTCATGCAGGCTGTCAGGCGGTGTGTGGGTGGAGAGGGGGGAGAGGGGGGGAGCAAACGGTGTGAATGGCGAAGCAAAGGGCAAGGAGGGGGGGGGGGCATGGGGGAGACCGCTGGGGCGCTCCTTCGGACCCCACAGTGGGGGGGGGGGCATTGGCGAGCGGGCGAGTGCGTGCATGGGGGGGGGGGGAGAGAGGAGGGAGAGGTGCGTACACTCCAGGTACGAGTGAACTTCCGGATGGACAGCATAGTCGATCGGTAGCTTGCCCTTGATGTTGTGCGAGAAGATGGAGTGCGGCGTGTTGCCGGCCTTGATCAGGAGCTTGACGATGGCCAGGTGGGTGTAGGCGGCCGCCACATGCAGCGGGGTGTTGCCGTCGCTGTTGGTGGCGTCGAGGATGATGTTGGGCTGTGGGGGGGGGGAGACATGTAAGGATAGGCAAACGCCTCCGGTACAAAAGGGAGGGAGAGAGGAGAAGAAGAGGAAGGGGAAGGGGGTGAATGCGTGGAGGGAGGGCGGAAGGGGCACGCACATGGCTCAGGAGGGTGGAAACGATGGCGGGGTTGCCGATGGTGCAGGCATAGTGCAGGATGGTTGAGCCATCGGCGATGCAGGCGTTGATGTCGATGCCTGGCAGCGAGCACGAAAGTGTAAGTATGAAAGCATCATCAGGGGGAGAGAGTGTGTGAGGGAGAGCGAAAGGGGAAGGAGGGATAGGAGGCAGGGAAGGCCAGACGCACTGCCACTGTGGATGATCTCCTTGAGGGTGGCAACATCGCCGTGCTCCACAATCCGGAAGAGGTCGTTCATGCTTTTTGAAGGGACGGGGGAGGGCCGGCGACAGGCGAGACCGGCGAACGCGTGCAAAGGATGTGGCTCACGCGAGGGTGGGGGGGGGAGGGAGAACAGAGGCGCGGGGCCGCGGGCAGGGAAGGCGAGGAAATGCAAATCAAGAGAAGGAGGAGGAGGAGGGGGGGAGGTGAGGGAGTGGGACAACACGTCTGCAGGAGGAGGAAGACGGATGCACGAGTATGTCCCGGGGGGATTGGGCCCTGGCCGGGGGCCGGGGGCCGAGAAATCCTCGGCCCAGTGCCGAGGGCTCAACAGGCAATTGCGGGGGCGGGGGGGGTGGGGGGGGGGGGAGGGGGGGGGGGCGGGGGGGGGGGGGGCGGAGGGGGGGGGGGGGGGGGGGGGGGGGGGGGGGGGGGGGGGGGGGGGGGGGGGGGGGGGGGGGGGGGGCGCTAGTGCGAATGCGCACGCGCGCGCGCGCGCGCACACACCCACCGAGGCCGTGGGGAGAAAAAATAACAACAACCGCCGGGAGTGCCGAATACTTGGCCGCCTGGAAAGCGCCTCTGGCGGAGGCACGGGGGCGGCGCGCAGCAGGCCCCTCCTGCGCCGGCGCCGCACCCGGCAGGGCCCCCCCGCCCGCCCCCCCTCCCGCGTCCGGATGGCGGTTGGCCGGCCAAGTGAATGTGAGCTCGCGAATGCGCCCCCGGTCCCTGTGTATGGAAATGCCCCTGGGCCAGATGACGGGGACCCTGATGCGAGGATGGATTTCCGGTCGGGGCGGGGGGGGTGGCACGGGGGGGCGGCCCCGTCAAAGGGTGGCCGAGAGTGCACACCTGCTTGTTCGGGGCCCCTGCCGGGCGGTCGGGCAGTACAAGTGATCCCGCCGCGCGCCCGGGGGGCGGGGCCATGCTCCTGGCAGGACGAGGGCAGGGTAGGGGGGCGGGTATTCATGCGAGCGCGCGCGCCAAGCGAACACCGCCGCCCTGTGAATTCGGCGAAGCCCTCCGGGAACGCGTGAATGAGCAAAGGCCAGCGGACACGCCGCCGCGCGGGCGCCGGCAACCCCCGAGGTAGGCCCCGGGCAGGACATGCCCCTTCCGAGGCAGGCCCATCCTCCTCCTCCTCCTCCTCGGCTCCAAGAAAAGGGGGAGCGCTCCCGCGGGATGAGCCGAGGGACACGCGAGAAAGGGCCCCGGCGAGGGGGGGGGGGGGGAGAGCAGCGCAGAGAGGCCCCGGGGCCGCTTGTGGCTGTCCTCCCGGCGGGGGATCGTGTGAAAAGGCCCCACAGGTCGGGCTGTGGCCCCCCGGAGGGGCACAATGATGGGTGGACTCCCGCCTGGCGGCCCCTTCCTCCGGCCTGGGCCCGGGAGAGAAAGCGGCGTGGCGACAAGAATAGAGCCCCTATTTATTGCCTTTGATATTTGCTCCAGACCCAATGTGCGCGCGGACCCGGGGCCGGCGGTGGTTTCTCCGACGCCCTCCCCCCCCCCCCCCCCCCCCCCCCCCCCCCCGGTCCCGGAAAGTTGTTGTGGCCGAGGCTCCCACCCCCCCCCCCCCCCTTGTAGAGGCCCTGGGGGGCCCCCCCCCCCCCCCGGCCGTGTGCGTAAGGCGGGGGGGACGGTCGCCGGGAGATGCCCGCCCCCCCCTGGCAAGCCTCGAGGTTGTTCCCAGGGAAGGGGGGTATCATCGTCTGTTTTCTGCGACGCCTCCTATGAACGCGCGGCGCGGAAAACCCGGCTCTCTCGCTTCCCCCCCCCCGGCGCGTAATGCACCTGCGACCTCTGGGCGCGGGCGCCACCCGTCGGAGGTCATTTATGCCACCGGAGGAATGCCCGGAGGGGTCGACCGCCAGCGCGCCCCGCCCCGCCCGCGGATATTGGAATCTCCCGATCTCTGGCCGCTCGAAAACCCATATTGAGGGGCTCCGCGTGGGGAGCCGAGGCCGGTCGCGGCTCCGGCCCTCATGTCCCCCTCTGGGCATCATCATCCATGCACTCAGCCCTGACAAGTTGATGCCCCGGGCTTTTCCCCCCCCCGTGGGCGCCGCGGCCTGGCCTCGGCCCACACAGTCCGGCCTGATGTTCGCCCCCGCAGACACGGCCGAGGTCCTTCCGGAGCCAACAGTTCCAGTCCGGGGGAGGGGGGAGCGGAGGAGGCACGCCGGTCTGACGCGCGGCCTACCCCTCCCCGCGGGTCTCTTTCTCTCTTTCCCCCCCCCCCCCCCCACACGTCT